GCGCCCCCGGCGCTCCGGGGCCCCGGGCGGCTTCGCCCGCCCCTCCCGGCCCAGCCTCACCTGCCGGGGGTGGGAAGGGCCCGCAGCGCCGGCCCGGAACCGAAACGCGCCAGCGCGGGCCGCGCCCCGGAAGGAAACGCCGTGCGGACCGTACGCCCCCGCCCCGCCCCTGCCCGTGGACCGCGCCCCGGTGGGTGTGGCCGCGGTCGTACCACGTGATCTGTGCTATATAAGGCACGGGCCGGAGCTGCTCTGCCTTTTCCGCTGCTGCCGCCATGTGTGTGCGGTGGGTCTCGTGTGGCCCCTCCGGTGAGTGGGCGGCGATCCGGTGCTGGGGGTGCGGTGGTGCCGCTCCGGGGGGAGGCCTAGAGGCCCCGCGGGTGCGGGTCGAGCGCCGATGGGCGGCGGCGAGGGAGGATTGAAGTGGATTGCGCGGCCGGGCCTGGTCCGCGGCCTAGGCCGCCGAGGGCTGTGCCGCATGGCGGCCCTGGGGATGCACAAAGGGGGGTCCTGTAGAGCCCCACACGGGTTTGGGAGAGCAGCGGGTCAGTGTGATGGCTCAGGCTTTGAGTTACGGGCTCTGGCCTGCCAGTCTGCTACGCACGAGACGGGGCCGTGCCGTATGTCGGGGCCGCGTCCCCCCCGCACAAACACCAGCGGTAGGTCTCTGCTTTTTGTGAGTTTGGATTCTTTTAACTGAGCTGGACTCTAAGGAACTTGTGTTTGCAGATAAGTGGGAAATGCTCTTGTGTAAAGAGCAATGGAAGGATTGAGGATCCCCGCACAGCTGGGATGTGCAGGAGGGCTAAGGGCTGGTTTTGCGGCCCCAGCGCTGCTGGGCTTCGGCGAACACTTGCACAGCGCTCTCAGGCACATGCCCTGACTCTTGGCCTGTGCCAGTCTGAGAGTTGGACGCCGTGGTCCTTGTAAGTCCTGACTCGGCATGTTTGAAGAGAAGTGGCTCACTTGGCTTCTGTATGCTCAGCACGTGATGAGAACTGTGTTGGTAGGGACATCTGAGAGGGTGATGAATGCCAACATATCTGAGCTGGGCATGGAATACTTCTGAGAGCCTTATCTGGGAAGGCTGGGACACCACTGGGCCTTTAGAGCAGCCAGCGTTCATGCCTGCCTGGCTGCCCCGGTGACAATACACCAGAGTTAATGTTGTAGAAAACAAAGCAGTATAGCAATCACACCCTGCTTAAAAATACATAATAGCGATTATTTTTGCGGCCTCACAAAACTTAGATTGCATCGGGGAAATCTTAAAGTATTTTAGGTGTTGCTTGGATTTCTCAAAGTAATATTTGTGAATATTGCATCTTTTTTGGAAGAAGAAAAAAATCTAACATGCTTTCTTGTTTTCAGTTCAACGTGTATCAGCTACACTCCTCCTTCCTGTGGCTTCAGTGCAGGTAAATACTGTTGCTGAAATTAATAAATGTTGAATTTGTGTGCCCCAGCTAGGCTGGAGTATCACTGTATCAAGGAGGTACAGTATCAGCAGGTGGAATTCAGGCATTGCCTGCATGTCTTGGGCAGGCCTCACTTTTCTGCTGAGACAAATGACCTGTTCATTTGTCCTGGAGTCTTCATGAGGCTCCTGTTTATGAACTATTGCTCATACTGTAACCAGACTGCAAAGAATATCCCCAGGTCCCTTTTTTCTTTCTGCTCTTTGTTCTCAGCAGTGAATAGTGTTTTGGGAAAACTGCCTGGAATACGTTGTAGAAAATGGGTAACTGTGGGGATTGATGCTTAGTAAATCTCAAAGCCTGTGATGGTTTCAGTATAAGAGTAGTGGACAGAAGTGATTTCTGAAAACTCCATGCTGAGGCTTTCTAATATGATTACCAGAGAAGCTCCCCAGTTGTGCAAACATCTCCATGCAACTCTTGTCTCTTTCAGATCTGCCCCCAAATGTGGAGACCTAATACTTCCTCTTCCCAAGGTAAAAAATGATTCTTGAAAATTAAATAAAAAGTTGTGCTTAGTGTTTGTCCAGACAGCATCTTCTGCTCTGATGCTGTGAGCTTAATTCCTTGTGTAAAGTTACCCCTCTGGTGCCACAGTGATGACACTTATTTGCTACTCTTGACCAAGAGAGTGATGAGCATTTTTACCACCATTACAGTTTTCTGAGGCACAGCAACTTCAAATTCCTCTCAATGCTTTCACTGCTGAATAGGCTGTTCATGAGTTTTTTACTTCTAGGATTTGCATCCTGCACTTCAGAGGAATGCAGAAGGAACAGCACCTGGTAAGAAATACGTACTTGTGCAGAGGTGTCTTCCACAGAGCTGTTAAACACTGCAGTAAGAAGGATGGCATGCATTTTATGATTCATTTCCACTAAGACCAGAAACAATTTCTACTAGCTAGTATTCAAACTTCTAAGTATTTTTTTTTAATTGGGAAAATTGACTTGTCAGAGTAGTCACAAGAGGGGATTGCTCGGTTCTGTGGTTGCAGAGCAGATACAGTGATGACTGCATAGTTCAGCAGAATCTGCTGTGTTGAACACTCGTGCTTCGCCCCTATCTGATGTATCTGGCTCTTGTGATCTCCCAGTAGGGGCTGTGGGCTTGGGCACACAGGCTGAAGGGATCTGACTTTGTTTTCCATTGTTGCAGGCACTGGGAGATGAAACTGTGAGCTGTTACAGGGTAAGTGCTGCATTGCTGACATTGAGAACTCATTTAATCCCTGCTGTCTGCAAAGGCTGCTGTGTGATGAGTGCATAGTTCAGCAGATGACCTGTGGTGAGCACAGTTTACATATCTTCTGATGCAGCCTCCTGTAGCTTAGGCTAGTTCAAACAAATCATGTGGGAAGCTGAAGGGGATACCTTTTTGCTCTATGAATGTGTTTTAAAAATTTATCTCAGGAGACCAGTAAGTGGGTTAAACTTAAAAAAAAAAACTTGGTAAGATGAATAGAAAGATTGGAGTAGGATGTGGTTGCAAAGTAAAGTACAAAATATAGCAGAATAAGGTTAATCAGGTGTTTGTGCTCCAGGTTCTAAAGGTTTCTTGTTGGTCTGCAGGTTGCCCTCAACAGAGCCCCATGCCTCTTGTGTGAAAAACCACTCCACCTGTTACTGATGTGGGTGAAGACAAGGCCTTCCTAATTCAAGGTGATTAGTAAGCATTAATTTCTTAGATGGATGCTATTTTGGTCTGTGCTGCAATTGAGAGTTTGCTTTTGGAGATGCTTGCCAATTTATTTTCTTAAAAAAGTGTGAAGCAAAGGTTAGTACTGTAAGTGTTCTTCAGCTTCCTGTATTTCATAGTAAGAGCATCAAATAATTGTGGTGTTATTAATGTCTAGAATTGTCCTGTTGAAACTAAATGGTGATTGCCACATTACTGTGAATTTAGTGTCCAAAATGGTTATGCCTGCTATGCACGACTTGGTTACACAAACCTCACATCACTGAACTTTGCAATTGCAAGGTTTGCTCCTTGCTGCAATTTCAGCATGCTCTGGAGGTGAGGAATGAACATCTCAGTGTTGAAGAGTGCTGGGAAATGGCTTTACAGCCTGCCTTCAGAAGGGGATGATAGGAGTGTTGCAGCCTACTGTAAATGATGTTGAATCAGGTCTCTGATCCCCATGAGGAGCAATCGACCAAACCCTGATACAGTACTTGACTCAAACTGTTCTTAATGCTATAACTTCCTGCTGGACCCTGCCTAATCGCAAATTTTTCTTTGCAGGCTTCCAGATGTTTCTCATTGTGAGGTAAGTAATTGTTTTTACTTCCTAAGGATTAGGATTTCAGCATAGGCCCATAAGTTTTTAACTGCTTGTCAGCTAGGGGGCATGGGGCCCATTGGCTGTGGCTTGCATCTCAGCCAAAACAAGAGGATGTTTTAAAGGGGAGCTGCTGGCTGGAGCCCAGTCTTGACAGTCTGGTGTGCACTAAACTCATCACTGTGAGCTCCTCTTCAATTTACTGTTTTAAATATTTGCCCTCTTGCCCATAGCAGCCTAGCCCTATGGCAGGCTGCACAGGGGCTGCCAGTGTGAGCTGCCTGTGTGATGAGATGTGACTGCCTTGACTTCAATCATGGAGGTCTGCAATTAGCTCTATCTGACTGCAGGCACCTGACTTGGGTTTTGTCCTTCTGTGCTTGTTTCTGTGCTCTCCTAATGGTTTGCTTTGGTGCAGGTGTGATGGAGCTGGGAAGTGAGGGACCTGGTAGTGCTGCCAGCAAAAGTAAGTTCATAACACATGATTGTGACTGGTCAGAATTCTGTGATACAGGGAATGAGGAAATTACTGCATCCTCGCCGTTACAGGGCTAGCTGCAGCGTTAAGCAGGGTTCTTGGCTTTTATTACCTTTTCCAGGTAAAAAGCCTGGATTTGCCAGCAGCCTGCAGGATTCACTTCCCCAAGGTGCTGCATATCTCAAAATTAACTGCTTTCTGTGACTAAAAAGAAATAGTGGTGGCCATTTTAAATGTGTAACTGCTGTAGACTACTTGAATTCCTAATTGATAAGAAAAGCTCTGTGCTACCAGGTTGCCACACATTCTGTGCTGAGCAAATGCAGCACAATTGCCTGCTATTAAACTTCTTGCTGTTCAAATTTAGTGGGCTCTTTCAGGGAATGGCACTGATCTTGAATGCTTATGTGGTAAATTGTATATCTCAATGGTTAGATTAGAGCTCTTAGGTGATGTGAATGAAGATGTGGTTGGGAGTAAGGTCAGATCCCCCTTTAAAGGGTATGTTACAGGGATAACACCATTAAACTACTCTTGGCATGTACTGTTTGTGATGAATTCTAAGCAATGGGAATCTCTCTGAAAGAGGCTGAGGAGAATCTTGTGCTGAAACAGTACCCACATTCACACTCTCAAACCACTGCCAAAAGTGTGTTAGTACAATTTCCCTTTCTTACAGGGTGAAGCTTGCATGGAGTTTGAGAAACAAGATGGATGTGCCTGAGGTAAGTGTGGAATACATGGGGTTTAATAATTCCTGGAATATTGTCTTTGTGCTTAAATAACGATGCCCAAAATTAGTCCTAGAAGATACCTGATACGTCTTTTCTTGTATCTGGCTGTTCTGTGGGCATTACTGTAACACTGCACTCTGGAATTAAAATAAAAACGTTGTGCTGTGGCTGTCACTTGTCAAGAGTTGTTAATACTAATCTTTATATTGGCTCTACACAAATTTAGCTCAAGTTCTAGATGATTGCTGTACAAACTTGTTTTCAAACAAACTGGAACACCCCAAACACTTTCAAAAATAGAAGCCATTTTGAAAACCTATTGGACTTGTATTTTAGGTATTTAAAATCATGAAATACAACATTTTTGGGACAGACAGTATCACAAAGCAAAGTAGTAGCTTTTTACTTTCCCTGATATTTTCAATGTTATTAATTCTGTATTTGAAGTTAAGTTAGGATTTGTAAGCTTTGTGTATGCTATTTGGGTATTGTAAGTTAAACTTGTAAGATGCCAGCTAAAACTCAGTTTCTTTTTAGGTAAAAGTTAGGTGAATAGAAATGAATAGGTAAATAAACTTTGCATATAGTGCTGCTGTCTGTTAAAGTACTTCTTTCTTCCTCAGGAAAGGACTGTTGCTGTGTTTGCAGCCTTACTGGGTAAGTCCACACAACAGATGAATTGTGAATTGAATTAAAAACTTCTGGAAATATTTGTAGCCACTGATGAAATTGATTCTGCCAAATGAGTTACTGTGATATTACCCTTTCCGTTCCATTTCTGTCTGAGGTTACAAAGCTGTTGTGGAGCTTTTAGCAGTTGTTCTGCTGCATATGCTAACTGTGTTTTCTTGATTTAGGTGAAGAGGCAGCTCAAACTAGCATATGAAGAACTGAGAATGTGAGTGTAACTGCTGTAATAATGTATTTGTTGGAACAAATGATGATAACCTTAGCTTGAACTCTCTCACTGAACAGAGATGAACTAAGGTCTGAGATGTTCCCATCAAGTGTGTTGTGCTGGTTTGGTACCTTGTAACAGTTCTTATGTCTGTCTTAATAGGTGGAAGATTGCTGATGAATGGGTTACACTTGCATGAACAGCATTAAAAAAGCCAATGTGTTTTTACCCCACTGGTCATGTTTGCCTGATATTGATTGGTGTGAATAAAAATCTGTAAACTCTACCTGGTGTTGTGACCTCCTTTCTGGCTGGAACAACTTCATGCAAAACATCTCAGGCTGCTATATTTAAATTTAAAATGCTTAATTTAGAGCAGGGACTAAACTAGGCTAGATGCTAGTCTTGCAAGTGTCAACTGAGGTCAAATGCTGCTGGTGTGCAGGCTGCAAGGGACTATATTTAGACAAAAATAAGTAACTTAAGGAGTATTTCAAGTGTTTAAGGAAAGAGCTAAACTTACTAATATACTTGCTGCTAAAGTAGTAGTCTACCAGTAATCCTGGTAATACATGTTCAAGTACAGATCTTCTCAGAACAAGTGTACAGCTTAAATTTGGTAACTCTTTTCCAAGTGTTCTGGATTTGAACAACACAACACTTGGTTTTCAAGAGGGCAAAAAGTTGGGGAGATTGTGATAATTCTAATTAACAACAGTTACTGACTGTTATGAGTCACTAAGGCCTGCTAAGATGTTTCTGCTTTCTAATGCTCCTTAATGGAATCTTGGTTCTCTGAAAAAATAATTTAAATTCCTCCCTGGTCTCAGGGGTGATGTCAGTATGAGGGAAGTCAGCTTATGAAAGTCAGTTATGAACTCCCTTTCTCTAACACTTCAACTAGTGTTGTAGCGCTTCTAATGAGAAATAAAGCTACATAAAATTCAGCAGGCTTTTTTCACTTTGTTAATGTTGCTTAGAATCTTTCAATAGGAGTGAGTTTGTCATGTTTCCTGCCCATCCCACCTGGTAGGAGCTTAAATTACATTTTGAGATGTTCTTATCCAGAAAAGTACTTCATCCTAGACAAAATAAAGTTGGACATGGTGTCCACATGTGAATTAAATCTCTTCTACACTAAAAAGCTAGTAATAAGGTCTGTTTTCATCCAGAGCTGATTAGTAGCCTCTTAATATTACCCTATGGTGTTACTTTTTAAAATACCACACTTCATTATGCCTGTTGAAGAGCTTGAAGGGACTGTCATATCCTGCAGTATAAAAGAAGTCTTCGTGGAATGGTTGGCCTCTGTTTCTTAAGGTTCTGGCCAAGGCATCAGCTTCCTCAGCATACTTCTCAGGGGAGGCAAATCCACCAAAGGACCTGGTGCAAGTGAGAAAAGGAGATGTTTTGGGCCAAGCCTCTGACTTTATTTTCACAGACAGAATGCTCAGACTTGGAAAGCAAGTTTGAGTACTTGTGCTGCAGTTTTTAGTTAGTAGATTACCCATGCAGAACTAGCAGCAAAGCAGCATAGGTATTCATGCTGTTTTTAAAGGGAAGATTTAATACAAGTAAGCCCCCAAGTAACAACTGCCTTGTGTGTTCTGTGGCAGTTCAGGACTACAACTAAAAAGGTGTTGGGAGAGCAGTTTAGGTATTCTGTGAAACAAAACTGTCTTTGGAAGATGACTGGAGGCTGTATATCTATAAAACTCAATGCAATTTTCAAGTGTCTTCTAAAAAAATCAGCGTTTTACAACTTGGTCACTTGTTTTTGTGGTAAAACACCCAAACATAAGATTGCCTGAGGGCTGGGTTTTAGCAGTTAAAGCTCTGAACAGCAGGGTCTATCCACACTTAATACCTCTTAAAGTGTAGGTGACAGGATTCATGTGCTGTCAGCTGTGCCGGTTTTGCTTACCGGACAAAGAGAGCTGCTGCCTTCCGTTCCTCGATGAACACATCGGAGTCAGTGGGCTGGGGGGGGCAGTCCTGGTGTTCAAATGGCACAAAGAAAGAGATCTTGAAGTCTGTGCAGCCTGATTTCACCAGGCAGGTCACTGGCACAGTCATGTCAATCTTCATTTCTAGAGGAAAGGAAAGCCAGGTCTCTAAGCTGCATTTCCCAGCTCTATTGTTCATTATTATTTGTGTTCACTAGCTGCTTTTTAATTCTTTCTATTCAAAAGCAGCATGTCCTACCTTTTTCATTCTTTCCCTGGATGTAGTGGAAGAGTTTCCAGAAGCCCTGGCGCATGGCTTCCTTCTGGGTTTCCCCCCTGATGACTGTGCTGACCCACTTTGCTGTCTCGTACTGACGCAGTTCGTAGTCCTTTGCCTGAAAGGTAGCAAAAGTCACGGTAACCATGAGATGGGTGTTGGCAGAAATTAGTAGCTACTTTTTCCAAATCGGCATACAAGTATTGCTGCAGTTACCATTGCCTCTGCTGAGCTCCAGCGAGGGGACTGCAGGTCCAGGGACAGAAATGTTTGCTTGAAGGACTTGATCATCTTGCCGGAGCTGGAAGGCAGACACAGTTCATTGGCATCTCTTACATTAATATGGCACCAGGGCTTTTCAGTTGTTGCTGAGCTGGTGGAAGACCTGAAAAAGGCTGAAAGCTGTTTAGCCCTGTAGGAATTGAGCACTAGGACCAAGAAACTACCTCTGCTGGAGGAAGTGTTCTTTCAGGATATGCTGCCCTTCCTTCTCCATGGCAAAAAGGTATTTCCTGATAGCAAAGTGGGATCCTGCAAGTGGGAGTTTTGTGGAAATCTGTAAGTCAAAAGGACTTCAGTCTGTTTGCTCCTGGATGAAAAAGCAGTAGTGGTGTGGTGGGTGATGTGGTGTTGACTGCTTTTAACTTTATTTGGCCTCATGATAGCTGATGGCTTTCTTAAAGACTTTTAGCCTCAGAGTCCTGTGAATAAATGAGGTTTTCTGCATTTCTGAATTAATAACTATTTCCTTGATAGCCTTCACATGGGAGGAAAAAAGTGAAAACTCAAAAACACTGTCCCAAACAAAGCGAGTGAAAATATTCAAAGCCAGTGTTGAAATGATCAGATCTTGTAAAATGCTGAGATTTCAGTGGCCTCCATATACAACTTCTGTTGTTAACCAGGCAGACAGTAGTGTATGATGTGCGTTCTGACAGTCTCTGCCTTGTGTTATATTACCATGTCCTTCACCTGCTGTGTTGTGAACAGCACATAATTCAGTGATTATTGGATTCTTAGGCCATAGAATGTCTTCTCAGACTGTAGTTTAATTACCTGTTTCTTGGGTAACAAATGTGAATTTTGTAAAATCAGCTGCATTATGCTACTTTACTTTCTTGGCTGTTACATCTTGCAATACCTGGACTGTTGTTGAATTCTGTTAATCCCCTTCTATACCCTGCCTAGAGGTGGCTATGAAGAGTTCTTGGGATCTGAGGTTGAAAAGTTTTTATTAAAGCAAACCATTAAAAAAAGACCACAAACCCTGGTGGTACTGGGTTCCTTTAGAGTCTGTAAAATAAGTAGTATGTGGAGCCACTTCAGTGTTGAGTTTTTCCAGCAGCTCCTTCAATTGTCACCCCAGATCAAGGGAAGGTCAGAATCAAACAGCTGGCTACAGCTGCTGGTAGTAAAGGCAGGTGCTGTTCCCTTCCCTGTCCAGCCTGAAGGTACATCATGTCCAGCAGACCTGACCAGAATGATGGTCACCAGGGGCTGCTGCACAGTTGTACTCTATGAATAGACTTCGTCCATGGTGTTCACAAATCAACAAAACATCATAAAGCAGGAATCCTTATCGTTAGAAGCAAATCCGAGCAATTACACTGAAACTTCCTACAACAATTATTGCCACTTGAAAGACAATGCTGCTGCTTCACACTTGTATTAGCTACTGAACGAGCTGTTTTCTCTTTCCTGGCTAATTCCAGCTGCTTCCAACATACCTTTCCGTAGCTACTGGGTAGACCTCTGGATTTTGTAAGTTTATGGCCAGTACAGTCAGTGACTACATGTTAGAAATATTTTTTTTAATTACATAAAGCTATGCTTTGGCATCAGAGAGACAAACAGAAGAATCCTTCAGATACAGTTGAATTTTTTTAGATGTACAGGAAAGCTGAACTTTGAAATGCCCATCTATTCATATAAATATGTCTATAGGGTGTTCACTTTATTTTCTGCAGACACATGGGCCAAAGGAACAGGCAGCAGGTTACACTGCTAGCACAAGTAAGTACAGCCAGAACATGCCACTCCACAAAGTACTAGTGCTGTTAAGGACATGGAGAAGGTAGACATACTTACAGTTTCAGTCCTTGTCCTTCCAGCTGTTGCAGTGTGTCCTGTGGAGGCTGCACATCCTCATAAGATGCTGCATGTCAGTGTTTATTTGAGTTTGGGCAAGCTCCTCCCATGCCTCAACCCTACTGGAGGGGGCTGCTGTTATGAAAACCAGAAGGCTGGAGCCTTGTCCTGCTCTGGGTCTCATTGGAGAGCCCCCACGCAAATGCCAAAGGCCCCACCTACTATCCACAAGGCAACACTGGGACTAGTGTGTGATCTGGCTCCATAAACAATTTTGCACCCTTGTGTAACTTCCCCTGTTTGCCGTGGCTGTGTGCCCACTTATGACAGGGTCAGTGGCAGGTTTTGTGCTTTAGGAGAAAGGATTTCGCATAAATAATGTGTCTCTTTCCCCCTCCTGACTTGGATTATGGGAGAGTGGTGCTATACAGAATGCCAGCTTTTCCTTTTTACCACAGGGGTGAAGGGTAGGTAGAAATCTGGCTGCACACTCTGCTGAGACCATCCTCACGAGATTTTTGCTGGCATGTTATGAAAGACAGACAGTGTTCTCTGATGGCTGGCTGTTCTGAGCGGTATTTGAGGTTAATCAGCCCTCTCAGCCCTTGGATATCTGCACAAAGGGGTTATACAAAGCTATTGTGAAATCCTGTCCTGCTTATAATACACACAGCGAAGCTGGGCTCTTCATTTAGCCAGCTGCAGCTCCAGACATAGTTTGGTTCTAGCACAATAGGGTAGATTAAACTGCACAGTTTGTGTTCTGAGAACACCTCTCAGTTTGTCATGGTTTGTGCAAATTCCTTGCAGCCAAATTCAGCTGAGCTCTCAGGGACATTTTACATCAATAGCTGGGAATGACTTTTAACAGGAAACCCACTTTGCTTGCTGAGAACTTCATCAGGATGCTGTGTGATACACTCCTGTTCAAAAAAGGGAAGTAAAACCATGCCAAAAAGCAATTGTGAATTTATC